GGGGGGGGGCAAATTTTAGACAGGGTTCTGTCACTTTTAAACCCGTCTGTGTGCGGTGAACTTCTGTTCTGTTACAGGTATAGACCAGTTTCCGATCACTTATACTGGTAAAAGGGTAATGTTTGTACCGGCCCTGGAATCTACCAGCCCCATACAGTACGGATAAATTGCCCTGCAAGCTTCCTCTGTAACTGTCCACAGCAGCTCCTCAACCTTGAGCAGGATGGTGTCCAGGGGCGACGTGTAGGAGATGCATGTGCACCCCCTGAGAGTGCCAGTGCACCCCCCTGGCAGACTGTGCTTCCTTTTTAGCTGGCGGGCAGCCCCCCCCCCCGGTCGCTGACTGGTGTACCAGGGGCACCAGACACCCATGATGGTGTCCTACTGAGACAGCCAACAATGGTGTCAATCGTGGCTTCTGTGATATGATCACTGTCCACTAGGAACTGTACAGCAAGCTCATCAGTTGCTTATTTTGTATGATCCACCAAATAGTCATTAGCTACTAGTGACTTTTTTACAGCTATATAGTTTGTACACCTCAAGTAGCACTCGCAGTACTACTTGAGATGAGAGTCTGAAGCTGACCTTGCTCTCTTGTTAGCAGAGTTTGAGAGCACTGCATAGGCAGCATGCTTGCTTTCTCTCTCTCCCCATGTAGGGCAGGGAACATTTGACATCCAAAAAAAAGAAGTCCTCTTCTTCCCTACTCACCACTCAGAAAGATACAATGCCCTTCAAACGGTTATGTGTGGGGCATGGAGTAATTGTGATTCACTTCTGTTTTCATAGTCTATGTTTTTAATAATTTTCTGGGTGAGTTGAGCAGTGCCAAGAATCATATAGCAGATAGGTGTCATAAATGCAAAATGTTACTTTCCAGTGGAGTAGTAGGCAGCCTAGGAGGAAACCATATTCACCTTCCAGAAAAAGCTGGGTTACAGTGACTCAGTGTTGCTGTGGGGTGCCAGGCAATCCTGCAAGAAACCAATGTCTTCCAAGTAGCAGATACACTTTTCAGTTGGTGTCTCTCCTTCCCTTACATGCTGAGACTTGGGTTCAAGGGTCTGTTTTCTTTGAAAAAGAAATATCTGTTGCAAGGGAAAATGGAGAATCCTGCTGTGTAAGAATTGGGTTTCAAATATTTTGTATTAAAAATGTAGCTTATATGCAGAATATTTCCAGAAGCTTTCTGTGGAACTTGGGAGCTTGAACATTTTAAAGTTTCATCTTAAAACAGTTTTGTAAGTCGCCTTTAAAGGCTGAATTTTCCCCTTTAGGTTGGGTGTATAAAAGAGTAGATTTAATTAAGCCATTATTTACTCTTTTGTGAAGGCATGCTTTAAAAAAAATCCTGGCATTATAAGGTGCATGTAATATAAAATCCATACCTTTTGAGGTGTAACTAGTAGTCCACAGTAATATTACATCGGCATCTTCACACGGGTTGGGTTTGTGTGTGCATTTATACTATCGAAAATGTAGACAAGCTCCTAGAATGATTACATGCAACTTTCAGTGTTGAAGGAAATTGTTTTGTGCTAGTAAAAGCATTTTGGTTTGTAATACCTGACTATTAGAATATCCTGGCTTTCACCAAGGAGGTTTTTATTGCTTTACAATACAAGAGGACAGCCAGGATGATACTGAGACTTGACAGTCACAGGTGTCAAAGTATTGTGTGCCTGAATAGTCTCTTGTAAAGATAAGCACATGTATATGCTATATGTTGACCCCAAGTATCCAAAAATAAGATTGGCCCAATATATGAGGTTTGCCAAAGAAAAACAGAAAAGGGGGTGAAGAGTCTCTTTATACCATAAGCACTCAAAGTAAAAAATACTTTAATATAGCTCTTCACTCTTTTTCCCTGTAACCCTGACGGTTCAATAACTTTCTCTTATGAAAATTGAGATTCATATATAATTACTGGTCTCCAGAAACTGTGACTTTAAAAATACATCGAATATTACAGCAGTCTTAACACAAGTGCAAGAGATCACACCACTGTGTAAATCATTGGGGTCTGAATATGGCAGCTATTGAGAAATATTAGGCAAAAATAGGTATGTTTCAGCTAGTAAGCAGGTTAAATGTATCTGAGTTCTGCAGTAATGTGAAAAATCATTCAAAAGATTTACCTTAGATCTTTGTCGGCATAGATGGTTTGCAGTTGATGTTTGATGAAAAGATGTAGACACTTTTAAAGGGATTCTTAACATGAGTTATTGTAGAAGAACAACTACAGCTGCTTCTCTGTGCTTAAATGATTCTTTGAAATCTGAGATTTTCAAACAAGCAGGCCCCACAGCTCTACCATTCTGATTTTTATTTATTTTAACTTTTTTTTTTTAAAGAAAAAATGCCAGCAACTCAGCATCTATGAGGCCCTCTATGACGACAAACCCCTGTGCATGTGTGAGATGGAAGGGAAACAGATTATGGAAACCAATTTCTGTTTCAGGCTTCCAACAAGTTGCTCTAAGTGGTGAGTAAAATACAAGAATTGTCTTGGGATTGTTCTTTGAATGGCTAAAAAAGAAAACAACTGAGTGATAATTTCTCTATGGAGCAGTTTATGAAATCAATGAAAAAGGGAAGAACTTTGAACCAGAGGTACAAACAACAATTTGAAGGGTGAAAAGTAACAATGGCTAACTCAAAGGAGGAGAATAAATGTAAATATTTTTTCCAGTCTTGCTATGCCTGTTGCTATGCAGTTATTTATCTTCCTGGGTAGAAGTTATATAAAGACTTTATTCTGCAGAATTCTGATTGTTTCTTAATACTTGATGAGGACAGCACTTGGCACTTTATAGAACTAAGCCTCTAAAATTATTTCTTTTTTTTTTTTTTTTTTTTTTAAACTTTGTTGGGGAAAGCCTTTGGCCTTTTTAAAAATAAAGCCCTTAAAATTTTTTTTTTTTTTTTTTTTTTTTTTTTTAACAACTCTGGTGTGATCTTGCAAAATGCTGAGCCTATTTTACCTTGCAGAATCAGGCCTTAGATCATCACCATATTTTGAAAAAATGTGATTTATTTTTGTCTACATTTAGAAAAAAGTTGGGTGCAGAGTAGTTTGTAGTGTGAGGCCCTGAAGTGTTGTCAAAACTGGTTCAGTTTCTTCATACGAATGTTAATAGTTTCTGTTTACATAACAGTATTTGTTTTAAAGGAGTTATATTTGCTATAAACCTCTTTTTTTTTTTCTTTTTTTTTTTAAAGCTACCATCCCTTCAGAAATACCACTTGTCTGTTTAGCTTAGGGGTTCTCTTGTACATAGTTTTAATACAAATCGTAAAACTGGGCAGCCTAATAATAGAACAGAATGTTAAGAAGGAATTTTAAGGCTTGTCTTTGATAACAGACATAGGTATAGCTTATTTTTGTTATGTGACTTTTGTGTTTTTTAAATGGTAGCATAAATGACAGAAA